AACGTCTCAGTGCTGGGAGGGTGTGGGTGTGAGAACCACACCCTGTGCCGCAGCGCCGGGGGCGCGGCAGATGCAGACAGGACAAAATGTTCTGGGGCACATTCCTGAGTGAGTGCGCACATCTGCAGCATCCGCTCCAGCCCGCTCAGAGAGGCGATCTCCTTACAGGCCTTTCCCTCGCACACGGCTCGGCCCTCGCTCCCGGCTTCCCCTGACTGCTACCTGAGTCTGGGTTATCTACCCCATGACCTGCCATATCACAAATCTCCCAGATCTCTCAATCCTGGCACCAAGCCACGAAAGCACGATATCTGTTAATACAGCTCTCCAAGAACAAACAGCTGCAAGGTCGACACTGTCTATCCCAAGGGTTTTACATGCATGTACCGTAATGCCTTATATTCTGAGCAGAATAATCATTCAGGATGGGCCTGGCCCTCCTCTTCTCTGTCTGCCCTAGGACAGAGAATATGCAGTGGGAGAATGTAATACAGATATTATATCCTTTGGAGATGACTAGTCACAGCTCACGTGTGGCTCCTCTTTGACTCTTAAATCCTATGTGGTAAATGCCTGACTCAGAAAAAGAGAGAGTGCACCACACCACAGCCTTATCTCACAGTTTTATGTACGTACCGTAGTAAGTGATAATTGTACATACTACATACCAGGCTATATGCATATACGATACTACTTGCACAGCCCTTGGTATTGTTTCAATTATTAGTAGTTAACAGAGGTCACGTCTACATGAAACGCTGACTGTGCAGTTGTTCCTGTGCAGTCATTTAGTATTTGCCTACCCAAGTACTAAACGATGGCGCAGTAACCAGCAATACTGCGCAGTAGAGTCCCCCATGGCTTCATAGTTTCAGTGTTGTTAGGGGCTGGAAGGGACCTTTCATAGTGACATCGAATGCGCAGTAGCTCATTACTACTGCGCAGTAGCATCGCATTATAGTTTGTGTCCCGCGACACTACAGCACAGTAGTAACGGGCTACCGCGCAGTAATAATGACCTGCTGCACAGAGTCTCATGTAGATGCAGTCAGAGAGAGGTAGTTAGCCATGTTAGTCTCAAGTCAGACAGAAGGCAGGGTAGACATGCACCTTATAGACTAACTAAAGAGCTGCATAAGCTTTCCTGAGCCTGGGCTCACTTCATCCGGTGAATCTGCTTTAGTTGGTTGATAAGGTATATCTCTTCCCTGCCCTGTAGTAGTTAACAGTCACACCATCCCTGGGAGGTGAGAAAAGTAAGTCTAGGAGTAGGTTTGCACAGAATCATACAAGTAGTTAATGAAGGAATTTCCTGGAGTTCCTGGCTCCTAATCTTGTATCTGGACAATTATACTATTCTGCCTAATGCATTATAAAGAGACCGTAATAATCTCTACACTTAGGATGCAATCAAGGTTCACCCGTAAGCCCAGTATTCACATGCACACCTCAAAAGGAAAAGGGGGAAAGCACTTGGCTGAAAAATGTAGGTGAGGAGTGACAAGAGGGAGAAAAACGTTTTCCCTGAATAATGCTTTGTGGGGTGCTGTTCACGTCACAACCAGTTGAAAGCTGCTCTCTTTGTACCATTGAAAAATCATTTCATTTTTTTAGCCCTTAGCTTCATAATGGAAAGGTTTACACACTTACATCCTGCTCCTACACCAATTCAGGCTCTTGTTTTCCACTCGTACAATAGGGCTGGGCAAAAAATTGTCTTAAACAGCACTGTGATAAAGGAAAGACTGGATAATGCAAGTATTGAATTGTGTCCTATGGAGCTAAGATGGTTTAAACCCACAGAGGATCTGCCCCTATATTCCTAGCACAGTGTTAGGGTGATAAATTAGTCACACAGCTACATTAAGTACAAGCTTGCTCTTTATCTAATGTCAACATAATCCAAGAATTATAATATTAGCATTCTGCATTTAGAAGATACGTGTGTGCATTCAATAGACCTGGAAGGGGATTGTTCTGCAGCCTGGTGCCAGGTAACTATAGTTACTATAGGGATATTGTGCGGTATATGTTGAATCAAGCCTTTTTTTTAACTGAAGCTAAACTGCGCTACTATATTTATATTTCAAAATTGCTAGTTTTGAGATTCTCTCAGAGGTCGCACACATCATCATTTCAGTCCCATTCAGTACAAGGGAACAGGCCTGCATTCTTTCATACGGTTAAATGGATCTATTCAGACATTTCAGCCATTGAGTACTGCACTGGGAATCCTGACGGTTAAGTCTGGTGCTGTCAGAGGATCTGAAAGTGCCGACAGACCTTCCTCTCACTGCAGAGAGGTTGGCTCCCAGCAGGTGCCAAAAGTCACAATGCCGCAAGGCCAGATCTGACTGCGCACTATTAGTTGCCTTCATGGGCGTGTTCAGACGAGCGTGCACGTGCGTCTTGCAGCATCTCAAAGCCCTTTGACACACTGCAAGAGGCACATGCAGGAACAAGAAAATATTCCCTGCACTGCAAATTTGCAGCACGGGGGCAAAATTAGACCCCTGGATAGCCAGGGGTCAAAAAAAAAACCACAGAGAAAAAAAGCGGGGCAGGGCACCTGAGCCAACTGAGGCTGGGTCCTCGACAGAGATGCTCTAGTAGCAGCAAGAGTATCTGTATGGCTGGCCCTTATCCTGGTGCTGAAGCCCCCTTATTCCTGCCCTGCCCGGCCCCACCCCCCGCCTGCCCCCGGAGCCCACTTGAGCCCTGCCCCACCTGGCTCCAGCCCCCCAAGCTCCCTGAGCACCTCCAAGCCCTGCCCCACCCCAGCATCCCAGCAAG